ACAGGAGTGTTTGTGATTATCACTCTGCCCGACATGATTACCACAAAGCTACAATAGTCTCTAATCAAGTTTGCAATATTTGTGCAGTCTAACTGGTTCATCCCAAAATCTGGCTCTCCTGATATCCCAAACAATCATTTGAAGGCATCTAGTACAGCATTTCAAATGATGCTCAGCAGCTCTAGACCCTATCAGGACCTGATGGAATATTTTGCACATTTTTATGCCACAGTGATCTGGTTCCAGGACATTAGATTTTTCTTTCACCCCAGGTCAGTTCAAAAGTCTTGGGGATGGGAGACATATTTTCAGAATTGGATTATCTGAAATCAGAAGTATTTTGTAATTATTGAGAAGTGATTGAGGGCCAGAATGCATCCAGAACAGCACACCACTTCCAGTGTTGGACAATCCATATCTTGAAAGACACAAACCACCCTCCACTGGACCGTTCCACATGAAGAAGGATTGTTCCAGAGCCAGATTGTTCCAACACAGAATATGTTGTGTACATGGACAGCAAGTTGCCTACAGGCTCTGAATATGCTACCCTGAGCGTATTTCTTTCCTACATGCTCTCCAGGAAGACCCCCACTTACATTACGATGACTAAAAACAAAACAGCCCTTTCCGTAAGAAATGGAGTGTGAACACACCCAGTGAGGGTGATTTGAATATGCTACCCTGAGCAATCAGACAGTCAATTAATCAAAAATCAACCACCAAGCAAACAAATCTAGGGTAAAGCAGGAGAGACGAACAACAAAGAGATTAGCCCTGATGAAAGGCCATCTTCATCAGACTCCATCATCCCCAGCCCCACCATCCCATTAGGCCACAGAAGAGGAAGGAGGAAGGAGGAAAAGAAGGGCAGCAAGACAATTTCTTCAGCTCTACAGTATTGAACAGCTAAACCCATTTGGTTCTTCCTCTTCCTGAAACATTTCTATTTCAGCTGATCTGAAGAACTACAATGGAGCTGTAAGAACTGGTGCCTGTAAATGCTTCCTCTGCGTGTGTGTGTGTGCGCGTGTGTCCATGCACCATGTCTTATGGAAAGGGGCTGTCTTATTTTCATTCATCTTATGTAACTGGGGGTCTTCCTGGTGGGCCCATAGGAAAGAAATCCTCTAAATAAACAGAAGAAACAGACACACAACATGACTGGAAACCAAAGTTTTGGCAGATTCTTATCTCCTAGCCAGGATCAGCTTACGAGGTTCAGTAAAGAGTGACAGTGATCAGGGCCAAGCTTCTGTGCATTACCTGCCAATACCCTGCTGCTACCTATGGGCTCTCGCAATAAGCTGTCCATTTCTGAGTCAATCAGGCGGCAGACGAGATACTGCATGAGATGTCTAACATCAGCCACGTAAGGCGCCCACTTGGAAAATAATCCAAAACTTCGGAAGTCTTGCGAAGACAATCGCAGCTTGAGAAAATAGTCGGAAAGCCACTCTAGGGTCTCCATAACCTGCGAGGAAACGAAGAAAAGTTCAGGAAGAAACATGCTGTGGGCTATGTCTCCCCACCCCAGTTCCCAATTCATTAGCAATCGATTTCTATGGCTAATACTGGCAACGGTGGATAATTCTTTTGCAGCAAGTGCCAAGGACAAACGGTAAAACAGTAATTTTGGTAGTCAGGGACATAAGATAGAACAATAACATCACACACGTGGGCATGACTCAGTTTTTTGGGATGCTTTGAGTGATTTAGGGACAAGTGTTAGAGTACGGCTCAAAATGTGCTAATCCCACCTTAAAGTTTAGGACACTCCATTTGTTTCTTTTGCCCAAACTTAGTGGGAAATTATACCACCAATTTCTATTGATTTGCTGGCCAGTCTCAGTGGAGATTAAGGGAAGCACCAAAAAAGAATCTAGGAGCCAAAGGCAAGGCATGGTTTTCCCTCTTTTACTTTAAAGCAGTGTTTCTCACCCTTGGCAACTTTAAGATGCGTGGACTTCAGCTTCCAGAATTCTGGGAGCTGAAGTCCACACATCTTAAAGTTGCCAACGGTAAGAAACACTGCTTTAAAGGATAAACCCTCATGGGGCATCACCATGTTGGGTCTCAGTTCCTTCAACTGAAAAATAATCCAAGTCTATAGAAGGTTGTGGAGGGGAAGAAGAGTAAATGCTTTGCAGGGAGTTTAACTGCATTCATGCTGTTAAAAGCTTCAGAGACACTGGCCATGTTAGCTGGGTATTCTTGGAACGGCAAACCTGAAATATCTGGAGGGATTCGGGGTAGGGAAGATAGACATGGTTTTGCAGTTGGATCAAATGAGACGTGCTTGAAACAGCTTCTGCATGTTGACTGTCTAAGATTGTTCTTGAAGAAGGTAACAGAACCCCTGCACGCCAATCACCCACCTGTTCTGCTGATAGAACTGGTTCTGCTGAAGGCTGTAGTGGGATGTTTTGGTTGGTCACCTCTTTCCTACCATGTTTCTTTGCTGCTGTAGAGGTGGTACAGCCCAAAGCGTTAAGAGCTGCCTTCCAACATTCAGGGCTCAAGAGCTGATCTGAAGAACCTAGGCAGAAAATTCAAACCCAAAGTGAATGGTTCACTCACAGGCTTATATTGAGTTCATTATATTAACAGCTTGTGGCCAATCTATAAATACATCTGTTGTATGAATACCTGCAACTACACAAGTGCAGAAAAAGAAGGGACTGAGCCTCTGGATGTAGAATCCACTTTCCTGAGAAACTTTCCTTCCACTACCTTTTAAGAAGCACAAATTTCTAGTCCTTCAAATTATGAGGCGTGCTTGAAAGCCAATTACATATTAGAAGCTGAAAAACCAGAAAGACAGTTAAAGAAATTCATCAAGCGGCTAAGATTCCAGTCCTCCAAAACTCTTTGTGCTCCTTAGCAAAAAATGGAAGGGGGAAAGAAGTCTGCTGAAAATGAGAATTACAAAATAAACGATGCAGGAAAATATTAAAGAATGACTGTGTAATTTATGCAGGACACACAATTCAGCTGGGGGGGAGCACAACATACTAGCAGTTTTTGAGTGAAGTACAGGAGAAAACAGCTTTTATTTCTGATTGAAAATAACTAGCAACATAGATCTTTTTCCTTCCTCCCTCCCCTACGGGGAATTGAATGCAAGGAAAGTGCTATAATCTATCTCTTTTGAAATCCTATTAACTGGGTAGGGATCAAAAGTATTTACTGAAAAGAATATCTATTTTTTCTCAGCAAATTATGAGCAAGACTATGTAGAGTTCTGGGGACCATACCCTGAAAAGGTATGTTGTAGGGTTGGCAAAGGTGCAGATAAGGGTAACCCAAAAATTAAGAGATTTAATCAATTTTCTTATGAAGAAAAATTACACTCTTGGGCGATTCTTAGCATAGAAAAAGGGGCAAGTAAGAGAGAGGAATGGAATGTAGGAAAATGGAAAACCCTTTTCTATCTTCCCATGATAGCAGAGGGCAAGCAACGAACCTTAATAGGTAGGAGATTCAGGATTAAAGGAGCATGCATAAACTAGACAATTCACTTTTACAACACATGGTGATGGTCAACTCAGATGAGTTAAGAGGCGAAGACAAAGGCGTTTACTATTAAAGTCAAGGGAAGACAATGTCACCCCTGCGAGATAAGCCAGGTCAGGAATCAGACTCCACAATTTTGTCTGGAACTATACCTCATTGACACAGGCTATGATAGCAGAACCTTGAAAGCCTGAGTGAGTTCTCCCCTCCCCTCCCTCTTAGGCTTTTGTGAATCAGGGTGAAGCCAGTCTGAGCTTCTTTCTCACTCTTTCTTTGTTTCCTGGGCTCAAGGCAAGCTTTTGTAACCACTGTCTCTAAGTAGTTTCTCCAAGGTCATCTCCATGGCTCTCTACAGGTAATCTCCTGGAGATATAAGACTTCAGCATCTATTAGGTATCCCCCAAGACACTCCTAGAGCAAACACAGTCACTATTGGGAGCCCTTTTTGACAAGGGTATGGCAGAGTTTAAGAGGTGAAATCAACGGCTTAAGCTTTGGAGACTTATCCACTCCAACAACACCATGACCTCACTGGCTGCACTCCCGTGCCCCAACATTTTTCAATTTACAAAGGAGCAGCAGCTAAATAAAGCTGATATATTAATTTTTGTGAGTACTTGGGATGTAAAATAACCATTATGCTCTATTGGTGGAGGGTAAAATGTTTCATACTCAAAATGTTTTGACTTTATTGGAAACATTCCGATGCTATTCCATTCATGCTAGAAGTGATTCAAGCTTGAAAGACTTCTGATGATGTCAGAACAGCCCCTTTTCAATCTAAACATTTTGCACATTATTATTCTCTACTATTCATGCTGGCTATATGCTCCTTCCCTCTATCCAGGATGGGAACAAATAGAGGAGATCTGCTGCTTTGAAGTCCTACTTGAAAGCTCATCCCTTGGTACCTACCTGGCTGCTGTGGAGACCAGAAGAGAGATTAAAAAGACTTTTAGTCTAATCCAGTGTTTGTCAACCTCAGCAACTTTAAGATGTGTGGACTTTAACTCCCAGAATTCCCTAGCCAGCATACTGGCTGGAGAATTCTGGGAGTTGAAGTCCACACATCTTAAAGTTGCTGAGGTTGACAAACACTGATCTAATCCTTCATCAGGGCTCTTTTCACATTTTTACTTACTGAAGACTAGCCATAAAAGTTTAGATGGTACTTACTTTGAAGAAGCAGCCTCAAAAAACTACTGTAGTGGTCAGGAAACTGGTACTGGAGGAGGCAAATCCAGTGTTTGCAGAAGATGGAAAAGGGCATTAAGATGTCCTTCTCAGGCTCAAAGCCACAGGTCTTGAGAGCCACGTGGATGGACTCCAAGAGCTGGCCACGCTCTGACAGTGGAGGTTTTGAATTCTGCAACCATTCCAGAAGATCAAACTGTTTTTTAAAGGGGTTGGGGCATAAATGGAAAGAAATTAAGAGGGGGAGAGAAGCGAGGCTAATTAATTCCAAAAGAAAGGGAGCAAGTTAGAAATGTTCTTCTTTGGGTCACAGAAGTAATTATTGTCATGAGAATTTCCCCACACTTTCAAGAAGAACTAGTCATCCTTTTCCTGAATATTCACTATTAGCAACTGAGGAGGGGAAAAAAGCCAAGAGCTGCAGTGAATTGGGGAAGATGAAATATATTCTTCTTGGCTCCCCCCAGCCCCAGGACTGAGTGTTTACTTTTTAAACTGTACTAATCTTTATTTCTATATGTCTAATCAAAAAGTGGCAGGGAAACTGTATGCAGATAGATACAGATAATTAATAGACAGACAGATGATAAAACAACACATAAATAGGATGATAGATAGATAGATAGATAGATAGATAGATAGATAGATAGATAGATAGA